AAGGTTAGCTGGTGTAAGGGTCAAACTCCAGTCTGAAAGGATCAAGAAAAGCTCCAGTGGGGCTGCAGGAACTTCTTGACAGCCAGTCTGTCTCCTATCACCACTTCTTGTTTCATTGATTATGTACTTTTTGAACTTAGCTATTGGTGCTTCCTTGAAAAGAGAAAATTTTCCTAGCAAAGGAAATCACTGAAATTTACCAGGTTGGAATCTTAAGGGACTCAAGATCAGCTTTTAAACAGTTCCAGTTCTGACCAGATCTCTGTACGTGACTCCAACCTGTGCTTCCAGGACCATGGACTCAAGTTTTAGATGGTAACAGGTAGTTTTTGGTCTCTTACTCTTGAAGGTATTTGACTTCAAAAAAAAAGGAAAGGAGAATGGTTCTCAGAAGACAACTATTTCTTTGCTTCTGAAAATACAACCATCTAACAATAAAAATCTAAAAATTAAAGCACCTAAAACAGAGACTTTTGGAAATGTTACCCAAATCATCTATGATCTGCAAGGCCCTTCCCTTTTTGTTCATGGACTCAAATATTTTTGGAAAAAATTTCCACGAGACCATTTCTTCTTTGTAGCAAATAGAGGAGTGGAAAGCTTCCTGAGAAGCCCTGTGACATTTCAGAGACAGACGCAGTTTCCCAGAAATTCTGTGAATATCCTGACCTCCACAGCACCAGGATTTCCACATCTCTGCACACACAGCGCAGCACAAACACCGGTCACTGCTGGCAGTGTGCACCCTGTCCTGCTCAGCCTGTGCCACAGTTATCCTGCAGGATCAGAGCTCAGCACGGGGTTATTCCCAGCCCTACACTCATCCCCCATCCACCATTCCCATTTGCAGCACTTCAAGAGACACATCCCACCCCAGAGCCCATAGCAAACACCAAATGGCCCGTGGGGGACTTGGTCAGCACACAAAGGGTTCAGCCCACAGCCTCCCTGGAAGCCTAATGCAAATTCAAATGGTCCCTAAATTCCAACCTCTATCCAAGCATGTAACCTATTTCCAAAAGGAGGAGCAGTATTTGGGGTACTGCTCAGCCAAGAATCTGAATTAACCCGCGTTGCACACAACCTCAGTGACACAGCTCTGTACTTCTGGCCCCTATGAAGTCGTTTGCTCTGTTTTAGGAAAAAAAAAGCACAAAATCTTAAACTGAGCAGGTGGTAGAAGACACAGCATAATGCATTTTTATGGGCCCTCCATATGTCCTTTCCAATATGCAGTGAGATAAATTCTCATCTCAATTACGGTCGTGCAGCCCCACTCAAATCTTGCAGCTTAGTACCACTGCAAAAGTCATCTGTGAAATTCATGCTGTCCATGGTGCATCTATTTTTTTTTTTTTTTTAATTAAACCCAAACAAAATCTCAAAGGCCTGTCTGGGTATCACAAATTTGTGCCAACTCTCATTTCTTATTTAAGTCGACCATATATGTCCTTAGTTGCCTTCCCAAACTACCTATGGATTTGTGCCTCTAATCTCTTCCTTTATCTCAGTTTCTCCAGTTCTAAAATAATGGTAGTGACACACACTTGACTCCCAAGTTGTGACACAAAGCTGAATTCAATTCATTCAGTGCTCTCCAGTGCCAGAAGAGACTTAGAGATGAGCAGTGCCACAGCATCTCTGGGTATTTCTATGTGTAACATGGATTTTTAATATTATTCCAAAGTGAACACACATTCAAGGTGTGTTCAGACTTCTGTATTTCAAATCACATTCTCTCAGGAATGTCAAAGCTTAAAATCTAAGAAATAATTGCTCTCAAGTGCGTGCCAATGGCTTGTTCTGCAGATGGAAAATAAAAAACTTATGTTTTCTTGTAAGGACAGGGTTGACACTGGTTTATTTCTTTCAGAAATACTCACAAAAGCCAGGATTTCTCTGTATATATGTGACCTTGATTCCTAGATGGCACATGGACTACTTAGAGATCATGTTACTAAGTTATTTGCAGTTAAAGAGGAAAAAAAGGCTAAAATTAATGGGTCACTGGGTATTTTCTTCTGAGAACTTAACTACTTAACAGTAAGAAAAAAACAGTTTACAGCCAGGTGGCTTGAGGGGATATTTTGTTGAACACTGATTAAAAATAATTTCTTCTAAATGAGACCTGACCACAAAATGGGACCATTAACGAGCAGGGACATTCTCACCAGAAAGGAAACTACGCTTGATCAACTCCTGCACCGCCCACAAACCTCAGGTCTTGTTCTCCCTCTCTCACACACTCTCTTTTGCTTCTCCCCCCCTTGCTTTTTCTGCTCTCCCCTTTTCTTGTTCTTAATAGCAGGGTAAATAAGCAGCAAGTGATGCTGAAATGTTTTCGGCCAAAAACAGAGGCCAAACTCCTCTGAGAAAACATTTGGCCTCTGTGGTTTTGTAATATGTTCCAGAACACTGAGTTCACTGAAGAACATTGTGAAAAACTCCCATCGACTGGAGTGATGCTGGGGAATGTTACTGTATCCCAACTTCCAATTGGTCCACTTCCTGCAGGCCTTGTTAAAAAAAAAGAAAAAAAAAAGAAAAAAAAAAAAATAGTGCTATGTGGGAGTTAAATCAAGTTCCCATGGGAAAAATGAATGGCAAGAAATTCTAGCTTTAAAAGAAACAGCTAATCTGCTAGTTTGATTGTTCTTCAAAACTTACAATGAACCAATAATCCTAATTAAAACCACTTGGCCTAGTTCTCTAAAGCATCATAGCTTTTTCTATGCTTCGTTTGTACACACCATAGACTATTAGGTTTTTTCTAGTGCTCACTAACAAAGTGCTGACTTTGTTGGGATGGCTGAGCTAATTTCGTGAACTCAGTGTGAAACCTTAGCTAAACAAAATTGTGGTAATTTTCCTTAATTTGTAAAAGTGATTGGAGTGCAAACAAAATTTTCCTCTTGGGTCAATCCTATAATTTTCAATTAACTAAAACTAATCGGCAGGCATGTACTGAACCTGCATTTTGTTTAAAGGGCTGGAAGGCACTTCTGAAGGTCAGGATGCATTAATTGTTTTTATTTTAGTTTCATTTAGTCCTTTTTAAAAAGCTACATTTACGTTCAGGCAGGTTCTAAAAGGAAAATGCAAATTGTGTGAGGTAGGATTTCAGTCACAACACCTTTTCTGTATCCATTGTAACTCTGTAAGTAACTGCATGAGAGAATTGTCCATGGACTGGATCACCTTTGATTTTATCATTGTTCAGTATTTCATAACTTCCATTTACTGGATGAAAAAGATTGTGTTTTAAACACCAACCAGAAAATGCATACATGGAAACACTCTCCCTACTGGGACACTTTATTTCCACATTCAGCCATCTGCTTCTGGGCAGACAAGCTAAACTGCTGCCCTCCTTTTTACTGGAAAGCTAATTAATGATATCTGAAAAGCAACCCCAAAATGGGTTCAGGCCATTTTTACATTTAATGAAGTCATCATAAATTTCTTTGCAAAGTTAAGGGGAGCAGATTCCCCCCTTTTTTCCCTTCCATATCCACACCTGCCATTTCAGAAGCCCCAGGGGCAGCCACCCCAGTGGGGTGACAAGAGGCAGGACAGCACAACTTCCTTCAAAAAAGAGAGGAGGGAAAGGATTCATCTCAAACAGTCCAAAGCTCTGGGCAACATCCTCCTGTCATGGTTCACACCATCAATTTGCACAAGGCATCAATTTGACCTTTGCTTTTCCTTTTGTGCCAACACATTCAAAATCTTTTTGATATGGTATGTTATTGTCCATTATATGGGTTTCCCACATATTGCTGAAATCAAAATGCTCACAAATAAACACACAGCTTCCACAAGTGCCTGCTCCTCAGCCAGCAGGGCAATATGTGAGTATTTTAAGAGCCAGTTTAAAGAAACACAAGGCATAATCTCATCTGGGGGAGGGTATTTGAAAAAGACAAGAAAGAATTATAAGGCACCTTTGTTCACCTTGCTTAGTTTAGTGTTAACAAAATTTGAATAATTTTCCTGCCCAGCTGGAGCACAGAATTCTCTCCTCTGCCTCGAGTCCCTGTGTGTACCCTGAGAGTTGGAGTAATGCATGTGGAACTCAGGATGCCTTAGTCACAAGTATTTATGGTATATCCTAAAGTTCCAGTGGCATTGAGGGCGAGGAAATGAATTGTACTGGGTTGTGCTGAACCACAGTTCAGGCAAATGGTTCCAGCATAATCCTGTCTGTAGATGTGAACAACAAGTGCATTAAAAGCACATCAAAACCAGGGCAAACCTGTTAATTCCTGTAGCACACACCTTCAGAGGAATCAATGACACACATCCTTTTAAAAAGTTAGGCTGCTATTTGATTTATTTTCCAGGCCATTCTTATAACTACTGACAGTGGCTTGACACTGACAGCACCTGCAATGTTCCAGACTGTTTTGGGTTTTTTTGTTAGATTTTTTGATGCCAAATTACTCAAGTTAGTGGTCTCCAGTGTGGGAAACCACCCCAAAGCACAGTGCAAGTTGCTGTGTCTGCAAAACTGACTGGGTTGAGAGCTACTTGAGATCCCTGTAAGCCAGAGACAAGTGAGCTATGGTGAGATGGGCTGGCAAACAGGCTTTGAACCCTTGCAACACCTGCTGGACAACATGAGATGGAGATGTTTAGCAGGATCCTTCTCAAGACAGGAGAAGGATGTGTCTAGCTCCTTGTGCTTGCACTCTTCCTCTGTTTGTTTAAGTACTGGAGTATCTGCTTCCCTCCTTCCTCTCCCCTCCTGGGTGAAGAGATGTCCCATTGAGAGGACAAACAAGCAAACAAAAATCCCACACTGGGATTTCAGATTCATCCCTACAGTCCCCCAGTTCTCCAACCTCCCCCTGACTCCAGCCTCAAACTGGTGTTTTCAGTGATGTCCTCAGCAAAAACAATAAGATGCAGCACAGGTTTTAATGATGAAAGCAGAAGCCCTAGCAAGGGTGATATATTGCCTGCCCCATTTTCCCCCCTTACGTTCAAAGCATCCATACCTGTGTAAATGAATCTTCCAGGCGTTCCCTTGCAAAACTGCTTAGACTTGTAGGACAATGTGACTTCTACAACCCCTGGGATATGTCGGGGAGGCGTCTGTACACGGATGGCATGTGGAGTAATCAGCTAGAGAAAACATTGGGAAGGGAGAAGAAAGAGAAAACAAGCACTGTTAGATGCTGAACACCTCTTTAATAACACTTTCCTCTCAGATCACAGTAAATAAGCTTTAAAACATGTAATTAACCTGTCAGTGTTTGAATACAATCTCGATGTAACCCACACAAAAGCCAGTGACCACAATATTTACAAGCTTTCTTGTAACAGCATTATTCCTGTTTTCATACATGGCAGGCAATTGCTTCCTAGTACAAGCATCAGCCCTGGTTTAATGCAATAACTCCAGCCTACTCCAGCAGGACACCCATGTTTGCTCAGATGAATTCTGGGATCATGACAGTGTCCAACAAATCAGATTCATAAATGACACAGAATTACACGTGTGAACATGGCACAGCACCAGTCCAAGGTTTTAAAAACTCCAGCTCCCAGATGACATCTGTAGACTAGAAAAACACCTTGTGCTGCTGTTTTAATTTTCTGTTCATTCTGTGGAGGTGTAACTGATTCCTGTAGAAATGCAAATCTTGGCTTCTAAAGGATGCTGGATCTTTCCTTCAAAATTATGAGAGCACTCAAAAATGATGTACCAAAGAAAAGCATCTAACCATCACTTCCAGTCTGCCTCACTGCAATGAGAGGGCTTCTTCAGGTGTAGATTTACACAGAAATAAGTAGATAAACCTGACTTTATTGGGGCAGGGGATTCTGATCCTCTTGGCACAAAGGTTGGGGTGGGTCAGCGCTGCACTTTCCAGGCTCTAGACAATTTTTGCTTTTTCAGGATTCTGGACTGGATTTAAAATGTGGTCCATGAAATGAGTAGCAGAGCTATCTAGGAGTTCACTAATTCAGAGCAAGATTAACTCAAATCTCTGCTGCTCTCAGAAACTACAGCATTGTCTTCCCCATCACCAAAACGTCCTCTTCTCACTCAATGTGCTCCCTCAGAAAAAAAACAAACAAACAAACAAACAAACAAAAAAAACAGTAAAAAGAAAAAAGAGGTCCAGAGAAAAGATGACATGATTGTGTCCAACAACCAAGATACAGCTCTGGCACATGGATAATCCTTCTCTGCCTGTGGCACATTAATGCACCTCTAGAGAGGCAAATAAAACCAAGACCATAACCTGGCTTGACAGGTTATGAGCAAATTGTGAGCACCCCATGCAGTCAACTGCTCTATGCTCTTGGTCGAATCATGTCCTGGATTAAGGAATAAACTTCAATAGTTTTTTTTTAAATAAAAAGCTTATTTTGTTCTTATTTTTACTAAGAACCAAATGTTTCAGCATTGTAGTAAGGCCCCACCAAAAAAAAAAAAAAAATCCAGACTTTGATCCAGTTCTTTGTTTAGGGCACGGGACTAAAAAAGAGCACAGAAGGAGAGTAAGATCTGTCTGAGAGCCATCTGTGCTACAGAGGGAAATGGCACACACAGTAGGGAGCTCTCCATATTTAAAATAAGAAAATTAGTATTAAATCAAGTTGAATGTTAAAACCAAAACTACCAGCATCAAATGCTCCAAAAGTTATTCAGATCCACAGAAGTCAGAAGCCACATGTCATTTTAGAAATTATCATGTAGGGGTTGATGTCTTCTTGTTTGGGAGCTCCAAAAGTATGTTTTCAGGCTCTGCTTTGGAATCATGTGGTTTAGAAACTCACTTACTTTTAAAAGAAACCTGCCTTTTTTTCCTAAATTGCTCACTCTATCAATTTGGGAAAAAACCTAAAAATTAAAACAAAACCCAAAACCAAACCCCAAACTTCCAAGGAATGCTTTTACTTAAACTGTGTTGTCTTACAGTTGAGCTGACCAAAGCCTAAAAGTCCAGGCCAATTCTCTCCATGCCCTAAAAAGCCAGCAGAGGCAGAAGGCAGTGCCAAGCAGCAATTGATTTCCAGTGCTTCAGACACCTCTCACGTTGGGGTGAGCCTCTCCCTGGAAGCTTCAACCCTTCCCCACTGAACAAACAGGACAAGCTTAGACTATTTGTTCAACTGTAAGCAGCCAAATATAACTGAGATAAATCCCATCCTCGAGTGGTTCTGGTTAACTGGGTGAACTGGCAAGATGGAGAATAATTTATGGCATTTTTGGGAAAAAATATTTGTAAAAACAGCCAAGGATTTTAGTAGTAAAGGTTAACACGCTCATCTTACTACATCAGCATGAGCCTTGCATCCCTCACCCCCATTCTGGCATGAGCTATACAGGCAGCTTCTGGTTGTATCTTTGAATTTCCCAGCATTTACTGGTCTGTCACCACTTTAATGTTCTTTAAACATAATTTGTGGCATTTTCCAATACTCATCTTCCCTGGTTCCCAAGAAACGTCTGACCTATTTATGGTCCATTGTTACAGAGAGCTGGGGAGAGTTAAGCAAGTTTCCTGGTTTGTTCTCCACAAACAGTTTGGTTTTCCTTTGTGCTCTGAAGTAAATAAGTTTAACTGTGTTTAAAACCACAAATATACAATAATGTCGCCCACACATTCCCAAAGGGTGAACATTATGTCTGAAGTCCTATGGTTTAGGACACTCAGGATGTATTTTATTCCTCCTTTCCCTACAACTAAAATTTGGGAGGTATACCAGGAGCAAACATGTGCCTCTTCCTTTTGCTTTTTCTCCATCACATCTGTCAGTGACCACTGGCAGGGATTCAGTGCTGGGTCTTTGTTCTGGGTCAGCCTTCATGTCTCTTGCACACAGAGGGAACTGGACAGCTTGGTTACACACGAGGAGCTCCTGAGATTGCTGTCATAGCAGGAGATTTGCTTTAAGGGACAAAAAATGTTCCTTTGCACATTGAAATCTCCCACCTTGAATCTCAAATTCAAGTTCCACAGTACTGCCAGGATCTGCTGTGGACTGGGAGCATCTCTCCAAATTGTCCTGACTCTGGTTTGTAATCCAAGTGACCCAGTTGGTGCTGTACATCTCTGGGCAGTCCAAGCCCATCCACAGCAAAAGCAGATCTGCCCCTGCCTTCCATAACTCCAGGATTATGGGTTGTTTTCCTCTGTACACTGTCAGCCTGGGGCCTGATGTTGGGAACCTACTCCACCTTTTCTCCCTTCACCCTGACATAGCCTGTTCCTTCTTCAGGGCACAATCTGCCTCGTATTTACATGCAAAGCATCTGGAAGAGGTGAGCTATTACCATCCAGGGATATTAAAAGTAAAGACAACACTTCTGGATGCCTCTGAGCCCCAAAGAGCTGGAGACTGATAAAGAGTCTTGGGGAAGCATCGTGACATGTCCACCCTGTTGTTTTTCAGCATCTGTCCTTGCCCAGTGACAACCACAAGACTCTGAGGTAGATGAGCTCCCTGTGTGACCCAGCAGGGCCAGTTGTGCATCCTCAGCTCAGCTGGAAACTCTTGGTGGATGAACAGACACCAAAAGAACAGCATGGCAACAACCAAGAATCCCTAAATATGAGTTATGCCCCTTTCTGAATTTATTTTTTAAATGTAAATCTTGAGCAAGGCATTAATCTGTGATTTGAACAGGAACCCAGCGGACAAAATTCTCAAATCCATCTTCCTCTTCCATTTCAGCATTTAGCAAATTAAGAAATTGAGCTGGACGTAAAATAAGTAACTGGACCTTTCTCCCAAGGGATTTTCAAGTGATTTGGCCTGATACTTAGTAACTGCATTTGCTGTTTGGTATAAATTCTTACATGTCAGCTGGGACATGCAGTGGGTTGCACTAAAACCTGAGTTAGGGATCTTTTGAATGGTGGGTGGTGCCTGGCCTTCAACATCCAAAACACATTTGGACTGAGTGTGTACAACAAGCCTCTTTCTGTGGTTTGCTAATATATTCTAGGCATTCTTGTGTGATACAGCATCATTTCACACTCTTCAGAGTGCCAGGTTACTTTCTTTTTTTAAAAGTGACATTTTATAAGGAGATGTCATTAATCTGAGTCACTAGTTTATTTTTGCATGCTTGAGCTCTGGTTTGTGGTTAGGGAAATGGTGACAATCAGTCATAAATTTGACTTTGACTCTGTGTGAAGAGGACCATTAGAACAGGAATGAAGAAAAATCCCACCAACTGAAGGTAATGACAGCTTTCAGTAAGAACAGAACCCTTAGGGTACCTACATTTTAAAAAACAACCAATGACTTTGCATGCCTCAATTCTGGGCATCCAGATGCTGCTTAATAAGCCTTGGTTTGCAAAAAGAGTGTGCCTACTCATTTTTTAAAAATGAGTCAGAGCTCCAAAATAAGCACTAAAAGCCAGAGACTTCCAAAATCAATAACAAACGTAAAAAGCAAAATAACAAACTGAATTTGATTCAGCAGCAGTAAAAAAAAAAATAATACACAAAAAAGCCACCAAACCAAAAAAATCATCCTCTGTTTTTGCACTGTACAAATGTAAAAAAAAAATAAAAATAGATGTTTCAGTGTTTCATCTTTTCTTAATATAAAAGAAAAAGAAGTTGTTTCCAGCTGACTCTGTACAGCTGCAGGAATGTTCTTGGCAGGAAAATGTTTGAAGAAATAGTTCATTTTAAGCAAATATTGTGGAATATTTATAAGACACTAATTTTGTCTTCACAATCATGTATTTGCCCTGCAAGTCGACTCTCAGAGTCTGAGCACCCCAACAGGAGAGAGAAACAAGGACATGTTCTTATCAGCAGCACCACTTTGGAATATTTGTGACCACGCAGGGACCCAGAGCCTGGGGGAAACGCCCCAAATTCCAGCTCTGTGTTGTGTGCACTGCAGACAGGCAGCGGGGCTGTCTGGCACACAGAATGTTTGCTGGGAGGCGCTGAGCACAGCCAGCATGTGCACACCATAGAGCAGCGCTGTTTGTTTGGCGGTACGAAAGTCCCCTGGAAACAAAAAAAGGCATCAGACGGCCCATTCTGCTGTATTCTAAAAATACCAGGGGCTTTTAAAGTCATTTTTCTAAAGTAATATGGGAGGTAAGGATTAATTGAACCTACTGGCTTAGGGTATCTGCGTTTCTGCTCAAAATTAATGTGACAAATTAAGTTTTTATTTAGTTCTCCCTGGCTGAGAAAGGTTGCAATTATGTTAGAGTGTTTACAGCCAAAATATATGTTTAAATAATAAATATGTGTTTCAGAAACCATGCTAGACCTCCTTTTTTAACACAGTCAACTCCATTTCAAGCATATAAATATTTCAATTACAAAACTTGAATGCATGTAAAATAAATTAAAAATATATTATTTGCATTTCAAATTATTTATAACATGCTGCTTGACAGCAACAAATTCACTCTTAAAAGGAAGTTGTTTGGGTTATTTTGACTCTTAACTTTACTTCTGAATTAGGGTAGGAGTTATATTTTAAATATCCATGCAGCTCAGGTATTTACATGGATTTTGCTATAATAAAGTCTGAGTAATATAGGACCTTTACAATAATTACCTTCACAGCACCTCTCCAAAGAAGGTGACTAATCTTATTACTGTTTTAGAGAAAGGGAATTGAACTTTAAGTAGATTATACGATTTGCCCAAGGTCCCATGCAAAGTCTGTAGCAAAATGATGCTTAATTTCAATATTAGACTTCATCCTCCAAACCACCTGCAATTATCACTGAAACTGAAGCTGGAAAAATCCACATGAAAATGTTCTTTAAGACTCTTTATTTTTCTTTAGTCTCTATCTGGTTTTGTTTGGGATTTTCTGAAGCCCAGTTAAAATTATATTTTGTTTGGATCTATGAAACAACAGGATGAACTTTAAAATTTGTCCAGAATTCAATGACAAAATAACCTGGCCAAGTTTGCTCATAACTGGGCCTTAATGGCAACTCAGGATGAGCCTGCTCCAGTTTTGTAATGGACTCAGTTTCAGAGGCTTGACAGTTCAATTTTATACTCTATTAAAGTAAAACAAAAATATTCTTCTTGGGTACTGAAAATTCCTTAGACATTTTTAGAAATGGGAAGGCAAATGAAAGAACTTATTTTGTACTTCATAGGTGGCTTGTATGTGTAATTTGAATTATTTATAGACCACTATTATTTAGGGATCACTCATGCATTTCTTCACTTGTTTACCATGTTTGTTTGCTTCTTTTAGAAAGAATGTTCTTTACTCCTATATGATTTTTGACTGCTCTCATAGGTTATGAAATGAGAAGCAGTTCTGCAAGAGAGAGGCAGTGAAAGAGTTGCAGGCCATTGCAGCATTCCCAGACAACAGACTGGCCTCGGTCCGGACCCCCTCTAACATTATTAATTCCATGACAAGGCCTTGCAACCATCAGCAACAATGTTTTGACCAGCATTAATCTCCTGAGATTAGAAACTGACAATTAATGGCTTCCACTAATAAATAGAATCAAGATTTATAATGAAAGATCCAATTCTGCAGCGCCAGAATTGGAGCAGTTTCCTCCCAGCCCCTTCACCTTTCCCTGTGAAATGTCTGCAGCCATAATGGCTTCAATATTAACACACAGAATGCTTACACTGGGCCCAGGGGGCACTTTCATGATCACATAAGGGCTTCAGAATAGGGCTCATTTACTGTCTCTCCTTTTCTGGAATGCCCTTTCATCCACACTTGTCCTCAAGTGGAAGGATGAGAGACAGAGAGAGAATAGTGAAGGACATTAGAGAATACTCTTCACATGGAAAAAACACTGCCATATGTGCAATGGAATCAGTAGGGGGAATGTGCTGGATATAAATTAATCTATGGTGTTGATTTAAGATTTACAGGATGGAAGGTAAAGCATGAGAAGATCTTCTCGCCATTGGGAAGTGTTGCAGAGATATTTCAAGGAGGCTGCGGTTTTTTTCAGTATTAAAATAATGAAAATTACTATTTCTTATTAAACCTTAAAAAGGCTTTTGGAAAGCCCTAAGTTCAAAATATAAACCTTTCCTTGGAGCTGTCTCCTTGTGCCAGTGGGGGAACTCTGCCATGGTTTCTACAACCCTGGCCATGGCCACTGGGCTGATGCTGCCTGGGTTTTAACTTTCCACCGGTTTTGGGGGAATGTAGGCTACACAATTAATTATGTGCTGGGAAAAGACAGGATTTAAGGAGCTGGGAAGAATAACAACAGGGAAAAAAATGAATAAGAAACAAGGAAAGGGCTCCTGTGAAACTGCAAAGTCCCCTGCTAGGTATGAGGAGTCCACTGTGGATACAACGTGGTGCATTTGTTTGCTGCTATGAAAATTATATTTACACCAAGTATCCAGGCTTTAGGGATATGCTGTTCAGGGGTGCTGAATTCTGCAATCTTCACCTTACTGAGCTGCAGCTACCAGCAACCAGTTTCCCTGAAAATTGGGATCATCTAAACGTTTGTTTCCTGTGGGCCCTTAGCTATTGTAGTGCTAAACACAGAATTATTCACACAGGCCTTTATCCTCCCCTTTCCTCAGAATAAAAGCCACTGAGCTAAATTCTCAGCCAGCACCAGAAGATCCAAATCCCCCTGGTTATAATGGGTTCCCGCCACAGATAAATTTGATTAATTATTTTCATAAAACTGAGCGAGGCAAGGATTTGTGTGTCGACATTTGTTGCTGATTTAGCATGTGGCCCAGAGAAAGGACAGGCTGGCTACAAGAGACAAAGCTGTGAGACATTAGCTATGAGACAACACCTACCTCACTCCAAACCAGCATGGTGCCGAATATGACCTGTAACCCATCAAAGAAATTGTCTCCTATGATGATGACAGTGGCACCTCCTGTAGTCCATCCTTCACTTGGACTGATGGCTTTGATACATGGTGTAGCTGCTTTTCAACACACATGAAAAAGAGAAGTATTCTGCTGTTAGAACTGGATTTTAATGATAGAAGACGTGAGAAAAATAAAATAAAAGGAGCTTTCATTTCCCCCCCCCCCTTACTAACACAAAGATTTCAGCAATCATGTTCTTTATAGTACATATGCATGACCTCAAACTCTGTCTTTGGAAGCATTTTTTTCCTTAATTAATTTCTGTTTGGTTTTATTATCTGCATTGAAAAAATAATTTTTAATCCTATATTAACAAAAAAAAAATCAGAGCATGATGGGCAGAGACCAATTGGAAATCAGGACACATCCCTTTTTTTATTGTATATGAAATGCACAAGACCTAAGTTAATAAAACAATCTCCAGTAAGCTTGCTTTATTATCCATCAGAACCCAAACTCACCAAGGAAACTCCCATAAATATTATGGAAAATATTGGCAAAATAAAAAAGGGTGTAACCCTCAGCATTTCTCTAACTGTTCTGCAAGAAGATCCAGGTTATTCAGTATTAAACCATCCTGCTCTGATTAATGCTTTGGCTACTACCAAAAAAAAAAAAAAAACAACACCTCAGAACCAAAGCCACAGCTGCCATCCAGTCATTCCAGGTGTATTGCATCTACAGGATAAACAAGATGTGTGTGCAACACATTTTGCCATATCCATGCAGTCTCACAGCCACTTTCTTGGCATGGTATCTACTCAGAGCCTCTGAGAGGATGTTGAAAACTCAAGTGCTGCTCAAATCTCGGGCTAAGAGCTTCTGATTTAAGACTTTGTAAGCAGAAGCAGCTCAAATATTGGTGGGCTGGGGCAGTATAAACATTCACATATTGATTCTCCTCCTCTGCAGCACAGGGACGCCTTGGAATTTAATAGTGCTGAAGCAATAGAAATAACATTACTGTAAAAATAGGCAGAAAGCCCTGGGTAACTCTCTACTGTGGAGTCTCAAGGGTGGTCACACAGGTTGATGGAAAGGAGCAACTTCACCCAAGATGCTACCAACTTTTCCTTGCATGAGGTGAGAATATGGCATTGGTAACATTAGATAACACTTTAAGTAAAGCAGGTACCTCAACAATTTCATTACTCATGGAAAACAGGTTCAAGGAGCAGCATAACTCCACCAGCCAAGCTCAGTGTTGGAATGAATGATTCTTTCCTGCAGATGTGAAGCCAGAGGGAAGAGGCTGCACTGCAAACTCAGGAACAGCTGCCACTGCCCAGTTTTAGGGTTGGTGGCATTTGGCTGCGAATTACTACTTGATTGAAAGGCTGATTGAGCTGTTAATTTCGTTTCTAATTTTGATCATTTGATGATGTACTAAGGGAAGAGCACTCAGGCACTTCCTCAGGTAAGGACTTAGTAGGAAGATGGGGATATTAAAGCCATTGTGTGTTAGCACCACCCAGGATAAAACCCTTGCCCTCATGAGTTACTCAGCCTGGCAGTGTAGTGAGTTACTTAATGAGGCACAGCCTCAGTCCTAAATTCTTCTAATTATAAAGACAGGACATTAATTCATTCACAGAAGCCTAATTCAAAATGCTCCAGACATAGAGCGCTAAAGAGACCCCATGCATCTTTATGATTCCTCAGTGAAGTTCTGGTTGGTTGGAGCTGATTGCAAGAGCCAGTGTGGCTGCTGGGAAGCTCCTTCCCTCAAACCCTGGGCAGGGTGGGTGGGTGGGGAGCTGGGAAGCAGGAGGGAGCTGGAAAGGGAGCAGTTGAGTCACCCTGAGCAGTGTTTCTGTGAGCACTGCCCCAGCCTCACACCACTGGTGGTGGCAGGCACAGATGGGGAGCAAACAGACCCCAGCCCTACCTACAAAAGGTTGCAAGTGTCAGGAACAAAGTTTTCCACTACTTAAGCTGATGGGGATGCCAGCTCCAGGGAAAAACACAAACAGGCAGAAAAAAATCATTACCCTACTCCAAACTTGGCAGAGTACAGCCATTAACTTTTACATGAGCTAACAAAAGAAACATCCTGACATTACCGTCACGAAAACGTAGCGCGCACAGAAGTAACTTCAATATGTTTAATTTGGATTCAAATTACTTGCCTAAAACTGTGCATAAAAAACACTGAGATGTCCAAAAGTAAATGCTTTCCCTTCAGCCAAGCTCACAGTAATAGATCTACAGTGAAAACAGCTTTTCACAATGCCATCTAGCCCTTTCACAGTATCAAACTTTTCATAAATAAAAATTAAAATCACTTCCAAATTACACCCTTTCCAGTATTCCCAGTTGATTGTGGACACATACCCCCCACAATAAAACCCAGAGATAATCAGTTTCCCATGTGTCAGAGAATAAGCTACTTTTCTTAAAGACAACAGGCAACATTTTTTTGCCTAAATACCAGTGAATAAAAACTATTTGAGACCATAAGCCATTAACAGAAAACACATGCAGGCTTTGCTGAAAGGGTTGTCAAGCACTGGAAGAGGCTGCCCAGGGAAGTCACCCTCCCTGGAGGTATTTAAAAACCATGTAGATGTTGCACTTGGGGACATGGTTTAGTGGTGGGCTTGGCAGTGCTGGATTTAGAGCTGGACTCAATCTTAGAGATTTTTCCAACATAAATGACTCTACAATTGAAAATTATAGATTCAAGTAATCTTTAAAATGAATGCAAGATACTCTTGTGCAGTTACAGGACCCACAAAAAAGTCCTTGCTGTTTATGTTGGGATGCTCTTTGTGCTCCCTACATTGCAGTCAGAATTTCAGGTTGCTGCCCTTTCTGTGCTGCCTCATGTATTTGATTCCAATATTTTATAAATGTCTTTGCTTCATATCAAACACCTGCCAAGTCCCATCCATGTGAGCCAGGGGGACTGAGGCAGACTCACTCAGGGCTCTGTGCTGAGCTGGGGCTGTGAGTTCTTCACTGGGACACTCTCACCTGCTTTCTGCCTATTTTTACTGTGACCAATGTCACATGGCATTTTATTGAAATATGTAGAAATTGCGCTGAATCTGTGCCTCATCAAACCTGCTGGCAATTACCCAGGACATCTCCTCTGAGGATAATAAGTTACAAGGACTTGGTGGTTTAATCACCAGGGTAGGATGGTGCCCTTTGCAGGCCCAGCCTGAGCTGGAGTGAGAGCACTGTGCATTCCCAAAAGATTTCAGGGCGTTATTTTTCCATGTCACAAAAACCAGAGGGACTCCCCAACTTTGCCACACAGCCTCTCCTATTTTAAAATGCAAGTGTCTGTAAAGTTTGGAAGGGCTGCAGGAGGTGCTGCCCAGCCAGAAAAGTGGCCCTGAAGGGCTGCATCCCAAGGAAGACGTGCTGAGGGAGGCATCCAGACTGTTACCTGTTTTTGAGGGCACAAACCATGTTTATACAATGACATATTTGCAATAACCAGTGTCATTCAGGACACTGCTGTGTCTAAAACTTTGCCTTTCCCAGGCCCTTTGCTTGGAGCAGCAGGGAGGATGGAACTGGGTCCCTTTGGAGCATCCCCACAGGTAACACTGGGAGGGGGCAAGGCAATGAGCTCAGCTCTATTTATGCCCCTGGTACAAATGTCTGGCCAGCTCAGGCCCTCAGCTCTTCATACTTCTGCTCTTAATCACTTGGCAACTTTCAAAGCACTGTCTGGAAGGTGTTTACTTCTGTGCAACCCTAGGAAAACAGAGCTAGGCAGAATAATCTTTTCACTGGAGGCCTTGATTTTTCTATATTTTGTTTTGGTCAGAAGACAAACCAAAATATAGATTTTTTTTTTTCTTTCATAATTCCAAGTTCCAGAATCTCTACCTGGAATTAACTATAACACTATTCAATGCCTCCAAGGAAAACAAAATGCTTTGTTTCAAAATATTATCACTTCTCATGCCCTTCTGTAACCCCAAAGCATAATTTCTGAAACGGCGTTTTTAAAACAAATAGAAAAAATGTTACATAAAATTTAGCTTTTTCTGTAGAAAAAGAGTTTTTAGTCAAAGTCTGAAGCTTCACTAATAGGAAAATACAGTGAAGAAGTTTAGACCAGTCCTAGTCAAGGCAGTGAAGTGAACATGATTGATAACATGAACAGCCTTTAAGTCCAGGGAAGAAGAAAAGAAAAGAATAATTGGTCATTCCTACATATATGAACTTTTCTCTTGTTATTTTTGAATGAAGAACTGGAAGCCAACTACAATAAGAACCAAAGAGTTTGGTGGCCCAGCTATCAGACAGGATTTTCAGACTCTTTGGTGTGAGTGTCACATCTGTCATGTTCTCTCAGAACACAATGGGCTGGGCTGAGGGAAAACCAAACGTTCCCCTCCAGCTGCAGCAGGACTCTGCAGCTCCTCACTGAAGGTGATGTGGCCACGTCCTCCACCTGCTGAAAGGGTTGTGAGCCTCAGTGAGCTGCTCTCCTCCTTTGCACGATACCTGGGCAGGTCAGAGCCCCCTGTGCCACGTCCCACCCTGCTGCTCCCACGGGCCAGGCTCACAGATAGAGGTGGCCGTGGCAGCCTCTGCATCCCAAACTTATTGAGGCCATTGGGAATCCTGCCACTGGCTTCAAAGCTAAGGGCTCTATCAATAAATGTTAAGGATTTATGAGCAAAAACGTTCATGGCTCCAAGGAAAACAACATTCCTATGAAATCCTCATTTTTCTCAAAGTACACATTGTTAAAATCTTATCAGCTCCCATACAAAGGATGGCAGGTACCCACTCCAGCACGTGGGGAGCTAAAAAAGGAAAAGTTTTTTGTTGTGTGCTGTGCGTGGCGGTGTGTTCCTGTGTTCTCACACTTCCCAGCTACTGATATACAGGGATTTTTCTTCCCTCAAACTGTGACAATAAAATGATTACCCCGCCACAGTTTAGCATAATGGTTCAGAAATGCTTGTGGCATATTGCAGAGTTAAAGTGGAAATTATTAGGTAGCTCTTCTTTGTTATAATAATGATCACTCCACAAATAAAAGCTCTTCTCCCAAAGGTACTGCAAGGCACAAAATGCTAATTCT